CAGCAATATAACTACAGAGTAAGTGAAATCATGACAACATGGAGGATAATCTAAGTATATATGATGAACCATGGGGTAAAATAAGTGCAAGAAGTCTTAATTAAGATGAGAACAGGCAGTGTTAATGAAAAATAAAGGCTGATCAGTACATTAGTCGTCACAGTCAGCCTGATTTAAGCACTTTGAGAGCCATTGAGCTGAAAACATTTTTAGAGCATAATACAATGAAGAGGTCATTGTATCAGACCGAACATTTTGCAGAACAGCACTATTAGGAGATTTGTGATAACTAGATGGCAGACTGGATTAATGTAGTAGACTTACACCCAAATCTCTCCTAGGCCAGGAACAAAAATGAGTGTGGATTGTGGGTATATATAACAATGTCTGCCACTCTCCCATGAACAATCTTTTGTAACTTAAAGTCAGAAAAAAATCCAGGAATGCAATAGGAGAGAGTTTCTCAAGTCAGATGTAAAATGCTGAGAGAGGATTTAGTTTAATTAGATTAGTACTTCCCTTTCTTAAGTGGCATTTCTCTTCGTGTTTATATTTTCCATTGGATTCTGTTTTGCTGTCTTTTTGGTGAGGTGAATTTGCTGAGATTGTGTCTGAGTTTGAAAAGTTTATTTTACTGTCTGCCAGTGTTGCCAAAGAGAACATGCACCCATTCTCGTGCTGGCTTTAGAGATTACCTTGGGGAGCAGCATATGGAATTAAGATACTGCTTTTATGAACAGTTAACATTTAAAACCTAGAACCTTTCAACATTGGAGATTTTAGTGTTGTGGCAATAAAGTAAGGAATTTTTTTGTGTGTACAGACTTCTCTTTTACCAACACTTAGTCTTTCTCATCATTTGGGAGCTATGGTTTTTCACTTGACCCATAGTCACATTAGTTCTAGAAGTTGGGACACACAGATCACTGCAAAAATCAAGAGAAGCAGCTAGGGACTACTCCTTATGTTCCAAACCAGAGTGATACAGATGTGCACACAGTGGGAGAGGGAGGTGGGTCACAAGGCTGTTTAGTGAAAGATGTAGTTCTGCAAATACTTCCTGGTTAAGGCTTGGATGGAAGATCCATTGCCTGATATTTTGCCCAGACCGTGCAACATCCTGAAGTAAAACTGCTGTGGGCATAATTCTGTACTGACTTGGGAAGGGCCTAGAGAATAGTTGCCTAGGAGTTTCCCCTCTCTGCCCTGTTTCTGCATTGCCAGTCAGTTCGTGCAAAGAGCAGCATGAGAAGCACAGGGCACTCCTTTTGGTGCTGGGACCCTCTGCTGAGCTGAGTCTGATGACGATCAAGAGAAAAATCTTCAAACACATTTAAGTGAGGAGGAAAATCCTGTGCAATTTTTCCATTATCTTGTTTTTTATTTGCATGACTAGTTTTTCACTAGTTTCAACAAATAAAGCTGTTTGGCCTTGATTGTGCCTGGTACCTCCTGAGGGAACAGAGTGTTTTTGGTGGAGCTGTGTGCTGCCCTGTGCTGCCTATCTCTGGGGAGAGGAGCCTCCTGCCAGCCTGCCCCTGGCAGTACCAGCAGGGCTGGAAGCACACTGCCCACCTCTCCTTGTCCTGGGGCTGAGGGAGGCTCAACACCAAGGCAGGCACTGAGATGCTTAAGAATAATCTCCCTCTAACATTATGGAAAATTTTCCCATGCTGTTACTCACATTCTTGGCTCCTTGTGCAAAAAACATGTGCACATTAGGTGGCTGCTAAACATTAAAGTATTGCAAAACTTTGTTTCTCAGGAGGCAATAGTGAGGTGAGATGATAACTCAAACTTCTTACCACTTACTTCTGTGATAGCAGAGTGGTGTGCAGTCATCAGTCCCCTGTTATTTTGCTACCAGCAGTGCACTTCATTGCTTTCAGTGTAGGAAAACGTGTCCAAGGTGTTTTATGTATTTCTAGTTCATTTGAAAGTTTGGAGCACATTCTGCTGAAGAGGATACTGACCAAAGTCATTTTAGGAGTATTTTTCTCTCCCATTTATATGCAATTAAAACTATATATATCTAGCAACGACTAGTTGCTAGAAAATATTTAGCATAATTTTGTGGGCAATTAAAACTATATATATCTAGCAACTAAAACCCGTACAAGGAAAATATTTAGCATAATTTTGTGTTTTTTTAGTGTGATTCATATGCTCTATCATTAAAGATTCAGTATTGTCTGAAGACTCAGCTTGCAAAAAAAGAGGAAACCTTATTCATCAACAGTGATGCATAAATTATTTGTGTATGTAGACTGATACAAAAGACATCTGGCCAAAGACTGCATTGGCTGAAAAATTAAAATTTGGAATGACTGAAACTATTTGCAAATTAACACAAATTTGTTTTATATTACATATTTTAGCAATGCAAAATATTGATTTTCTCTATTCTTATTTCAATAATTTTTCAGGCCTAAAAAGGCTTTGTTTAGGGATTTTTTTGTAATTTAATTCTTAGGGATTTTGAGAAATACTGAAATATAATTGAGAATTTTTGTTGTGGATGAGTTCCTGCTCTTGACCGAAAAACAATGGTCTTTCATTTCACTAGAAAAAAAACCTTACATTTTCTAAAGAAATGGTTTTCAGGCTTAGGAGATTTCTGTGGTTTTCTTCTCCAGTTAAACATGGAACTGAAATAGCTTTTCTGCAACTCCAACCACCTGATTAATACAATAACTGAAATGATTAATACAGTAACTGAAACACTGTGGTCTTGCACACAAATACCAGGATAAAATTCTGCTCTGTCCCACTTCTGTTTCAAAATGTAATGATTTTGATCTTCAGTTTCTCCTTATATTTTTAGCAGTGTACAATTTCTCTCTTCCCAAGTGATTTTAACAACGGCAGAAAATCAGTATCTGTAAGCAAACACTGAAAAATCACTTGCTTCATTACACTTCTGGGCCATTAAATATCTTCTTTCATCTATCTAATTCCTCTTCTCATTGCCTCAGCAGTGTGACTCAATCAGCCATGTGTTATCTTTCCCAGATC